CCCCAAAACCCCAAAACCCCAAAACCCCTTCTAGCAAAATTTTAGTTATTGCTATTATAAGAGTTAATTAATTAAATTATATAAAAATAATCCTTAATGTCTGATCAAAATCAAATTCAAGGAGTTGCCTAAACTTTAAGCTAGAGAAAAGCTTAACAAAAAAAAGTGCAGAGTCTTCCTCCGCAAAGAGTAGGGACAAATATAAATAACCAAGAGCAGAGTTACTACACTGAGGCAGATATACCTCAACTTATTAAAAATAGTAAAATATTCATTATTTTTCAAAATCCTATATTTTATGCTCATCATTATTCAATTTTTCTCTAGGACTTGGTTATAATCAAATGAGGTTATTTGTCGATTCAGACGAGGAGAATACTCTAAGATCAACCATGAAGAATTTTGAAGTTGAAACACTCCAGAGTGATAGATATTAGAAGTAAGCAATATAATCTTAATGGAATTTATAGTTGCCTTAAAGAAGAAGAAATACTAATGCTTAAACTATAAAGCAATATAGAATACAGAAATAGATAATAATAGCAGCAATTCAGCTAATAGCACAATTAGAATAAAGGCATGTTATAAAAAAGAATCTATAGAGAAGATGATAATTTTGAAAAGAGTGACAAAGACTCTAACTTTTCATCATAAGATGATGATAGCCAAGAAGATGAATTTGAAGTTTAGGATTAAGGCTAGACAAGAGGTGGTTAAAGATAATCTAAAAGACAAAAGGATAAAGACTAATAGAACTCATCTGATAGTCAATTTGAAGTTGAAATAAAGCACTAGAAAGGCTAAGATAATAAAGCTAAAGGTAGATAAAGAGTTGAGAAAGATGCAAATAAGCAAAATCAAAATTAATCTGCTCAGCAGGAGGTACTGTCAGTAGATTAAATGAAAAGGATTATTATAAAGAGAGCTAGGATTGAATAATGGATTGAAAGTCCCTATTTCAAGGATTTGATCAAAGGAACATATGTGAGAGTTAGTCATAATAATACTTACAGACTGGGAGAGGTTGTTGATGCTTAAGATAAAAATACTGAATATGAACTTGGATAAGTAAAAACTAATATATAGATTAGCATCAAGATTGGTTAGTCAGAGAGATGGTAGAAATGCGCGCTTATTTCTAATTAGGATGCCACAGAAGGTGAATTTCAACTTCTTATGGCAGCAAGAAGAGAATGCAAAAATAAACCAGTAACTTTAGAGAGTGTTAAACTGAAGGTATAACAAATTAAGGAATTAGAAAAACTGATTGCTAATCCTGAAGAAGTAGAGAAAATGGTAAATGATAAAATGAGGAAAAAATTCTAAGATGGAAACCTTAAAGGCTTAAATTTATCTTCAGTGAGAATTGAGTTAGAAAATAAAATTGGCATATTCTAATAGAAACTTAAAGAGGAGGATATTCAAAAGGATGCAAGACAGTACTAAGATATTTTGACAATCATAAAAGGCTTTTAAAAAGATTTAGAGAAAGTAGATGAAGCTATCAAGTTAGAAGAATTAAGTAGAGGAAATTACATGAGAACAGTAGAAGCTGGTCAAGCTAAATACGAGAATATTGAGTATCTAGAAAAGCTAAGAGAAGCAGAAGAATGGACAAAGTATCAGGATTACATGAAAAAGAATCCTAATGCTAAAAAGCAACCTTTTTTCATGAAAATTTTAAGATAGGATAGCTCCCAAATGACTGAAGCTGAAAAATAAAGACTTGAAATGCAGAAGGAGATAGAGCTTATTAGACTAAGATCTCAGTTATCATTTGAAGAAAATAAAAAAGAGTCTTACTACTAGTAAATGGAAAGGAAGAAGAAGCAGTACATTCAGTTCCATTAGAGTTTAAGTTTCTCATTTGACTAAGAAATATAAATATAAGAAAGCGATGGCAAATTTTAAGCAAATGTCCCCTTTGACATTAAAACCTTCAATGAAGATTATAAGCCAGCTTAAATAAATCAAGAGTGGATGAAAGCCTTTGATCAAGCTTGCGAAAAAGATAGAGACTACACAAGCCAAAAAGCAAAGATTGTAAATTTTGACGAATATTTCAGGCAATGAATATTCCTTCTAATGGATACTCATAGTCAAACAATATTCATGAGGTTGTTGAAATGATAGCGTAATTAAAATTATCTTTAATCATTCACATATCATGCCTGATTTTATTTATTACCTTTGGAGGTTTTGGGGTTTTGGGGTTTTGGGG